CCTCAAAGAGCAGATGCTGGAGTGTGGCCTGGTAGGTGGAAAAAAATGGTGGAATTTGGGTGAAATTAAGGGTTTKGGGAAGCAAAAGCTTGGAGAGCAGCAAACCTTGGAAAATCTATTTTTTCCCCAGTTTGTGGAGCAGCAAACTTTAGAAATCTCTCTTTTTGGCCAGTTTGAGGAGCATCAGGCCCTTAAAAATCGTTCTTTTCCCAGTTTGAGAATCACCAAACTTTAAAAATCTGTTTCTTTTTCCCATATGAGGAGCATCAAACCTTTAAAAACCCTTTTTTGCTTTGTTTTGCAGTTCGAGGAGCAGTAACCTTTCACAATAATTTCCAATTTTGAATTAATAATATTTTAATTTGCAGTTTGAGGAGCAGCAGGCGTTCGAGAAGAGCCGCAAGTTCCTGCGGCAGTTGGAGATTTGCTTCGCTGAGAACCCGGCCCAGCACCAGAGAATCATCCGGGCCCTGCAGGGCTGCGGGGACACGGGGACACAGGACACTGCTGAGGTGACACAATTGTCATTGTCATTGTGTCATTGTGTCATTGTGTCATTGTCAGTGTCAGTGTCACTGCAGGGCTGCGGGGACACGGGGACACAGGACACGGCCGAGGTGACATTGTCATTGTCATTGTGTCATTGTGTCATTGTCATTGTCATTGTGTCATTGTCAATGTCACTGCAGGGCTGCGGGGACACGGGGACAGAGGACACTGCTGAGGTGACATTGTCATTGTCATTGTCATTGTGTCATTGTCATTGTCATTGTGTCATTGTCAATGTCACTGCAGGGCTGCGGGGACACGGGGACACAGGACACGGCTGAGGTGACACAATTGTCATTGTCATTGTCATTGTGTCATTGTCATTGTCACTGTCACTGTCAGTGTCACTGCAGGGCTGCAGGGACACGGGGACACAGGACACGGCTGAGGTGACATTGTCATTGCCATTGTGTCATTGTCATTGTCACTGTGTCACTGTCAGTGTCACTGCAGGGCTGCGGGGACACGGGGACACAGGACACGGCTGAGGTGACACTGTCATTGTCATTGTCATTGTGTCATTGTCATTGTCATTGTGTCATTGTGTCATTGTATCATTGTCATTGTCACTGTCAGTGTCACTGCAGGGCTGCGGGGACACGGGGACACAGGACACTGCTGAGGTGACATTGTCATTGTCATTGTGTCATTGTCACTGTCAGTGTCACTGCAGGGCTGCGGGGACACGGGGACACAGGACACTGCTGAGGTGACACTGTCATTGTCATTGTCATTGTGTCATTGTCATTGTGTCATTGTCATTGTGTCATTGTGTCATTGTCATTGTGTCATTGTCATTGTCACTGTCAGTGTCACTGCAGGGCTGCGGGGACACGGGGACACAGGACACTGCTGAGGTGACATTGTCATTGTCATTGTCATTGTGTCATTGTCATTGTCACTGTCACTGTCAGTGTCACTGCAGGGCTGCGGGGACACGGGGACACAGGACACTGCTGAGGTGACATTGTCATTGTCATTGTCATTGTCACCCCTCTGTCATTGTCATTGTCATTGTCATTGTGTCATTGTCACTGTCACCCTCTGTCCCTGTCATGC